GAGGAATCGGTGACGTCGGAGGAGGAGGAGTCAGACAAGGCGGGGGATGTCGCCGTCACAGAGGGTGCCAAGAAGGAAAAGTGGGTCGCAGTCAAATCGCAGACCCCTGCTGCAGAGCCAGCCCAGCCCGAGAAGACACCCACTGAAGAGTCTAGCCCTCCATAAATCCGCCGCTCGCCCCGAAATTTTGGACTGGACTGGCTGCTCACTCCACGCTCCTCCTCCCGTGCTGGAGATCCCGCCGCTACTCTGTCGCTATCTACATCTACTACTGGTTCTTCGTGTTTGGTTGTTATCTGCCTGTGATACGTTAGACGGAATGGCATGCTTTTGTGGATCTCTTTCCACCCCCCTCCTTGATGTGTGTCCCACCAAGTCCCGATTCACCCTCTTTATAAAGTTACGACCCTCCGTCTGTCCGAAGCCTTTTTAGACTCCGACGATCACTTGACCCCGAGCTTCCTGCCCTAAAGTCATGTATCGTCAAGTTGAGGATGACTTATTTAATTATTCATCAGACACTTATCCTGAGCTTCAGATTCAGGAAAGACTCAGGTCTGAAATTTATTGTCAGCCGAAGTGCTGGGGCGCGGAGCAGCACACTCTTGTTCGGTATAATATCACGCGAATATCTGAGAGCGTGGTGTATATATTAATTAGGGCATGAAATGCGTGAAATGACATGAATGCTCGTATGAAAATCTATGTAGGTTTAACATTAACGTCCGAAAGAGTTTTGAACGCGTCCTTGTATGCGTCTAGGAGCGCCTTCACTCTTGTCCGCTCCGCCACCAGCCCCTCGTCCTCATGAAGCATGTCTTGGAATAACTCGGGCTTGTAGAGGGACGCGACGAGGCGATTCTGCACATGGTACGACGTGTGGTTGACCAAGAAATGCATGATCGCTTTGGGTACGAGGTCCTGGATGCTCTGCCGGACAATCCCAAAGTAAGATGCAATGAGAGAGCGAATAAGAGACGTTTCCATCTCTTCTCGCAGGGTGAGGTTGTGCCCCTCGGAAGGAATCTTAGCCACATATATAGGTCAGATACGAATGAAATCGAGTGAAATGGCTCACAGCTTCGATGTGCTTCCCCAGACTCTTCATGTCATACGCGGCATTGTTTCCATCCATGTTACGCTGTCCCGCCATGAGCCCGGACGCGATTGTCATGCTGGAGCTCTCCCCGCCAGACATATCCCGGCCCACAGGCACCACGCTGGGGCCGCTGCCACTCGGACGGTTGTGATGGTGTCCGGAATTCCCAATGCTCGAACCAGCAATCGGGCCCGGTCCATTCTGCCCGAAGAAGTAGTTCAAGAAAGTCTCCCGTGCTGAGGGCGGGGAGCCGCGGTGGGTCTGCGCCATGGCAGAGTGCGGTCTTTGTTGAGAAGGCAACTTTCTTGCCGGGACAGCAATCTGGTTGGGCGTAGTAGAAACGGATCCGGTCGATGTCCGGGCACGATCGTGTATTGTGGCGGATACAGAGCGTCCGTCACCGCGGGGAGGGAAGATACCATTAGGAAGACCGTTTTCATCCGACGAATCCACGTCCTCGTCTGTGCCGGTGCCATTCGTTGGCTCAGTCGATGCAGGCTGGCGAACAACCGTTCAGCGAGCCAGAAAAAGGTGCAAGACACAGGCGGCTTACTCGTAGAGGCATCTGCCGAGCTGGAGGGGAACTGGCTTGCTGCGCAGCGACAGCAGATCCAGTGATAAATGCGGGGTGGTTGGTGTTGATATACGCCGCCTGTATGGCGATCAAGCTCTGTGCATAATCGGACGTGGGACCCAGCCGCTCCCTTAACAGTTCGGAAACGACTTCGATGAGCTTGGCATGCAAGCCAGGGAACCGTTGCAACTCCTGAAGAGACAATTAGCGATTGAGGATGCCAGATACCGAAGAGTACTTGCAGTGCTTGTGCAGTTATGGCAAATCTTCACAAGCTCCTCGTACACAAGTTCTACACACCGCAAACTCGGAGCCTCCAATAATTTGATCTGAGGTTTGACCAAGAGATCAAAGGCGATTTCAGGGACAAAAAGACTCGGACGAGGACCCGTGGAGTTGCGGATTGCAGTCCGGATGTCCTGGTTCTCGAGGTTCTGCGTGGAGTCGATTGAATCGAGGGCCTGTCCGAATATATCGTTGAAAATATAGTATATCCGAGCACCCCCCGAGAGTTCTTTCGTGGAAATGTCGACCTTCGTTCCTTCGATCGAGGAGACGAAGTCGCGCGCGAACTGCGTCATCAGTCGCAGAATAAGAGCTCCTTGCTAAACGAGTCATGAGTCGAGGAAGGAGAGTAAGTGGAAGGAATGCCACGAACCTGATTTTGGTCTCCAAAGCTATCTGAATCGCCGAATGAGTTGAGCTCCTGCTGAGCCTGGCCCATTAGGGTGTTCAACCGAGCCTTCATGTCCGGTAGCTTGTCACGAATGTGGTTCATCAGAACCTGTAAAGATGTTAATAACGTTCATATGCCGCTTAAGGCGATGTAACACACCTGGTTCAGGCTCTTCGCCAGGTATTTTGTTCCGTTCTTGTGGGCGATATTTCGATATGCGGGATGGCTCTTGAAGAACTCCGTTTCGCTGTTCAACGCCGCTTCCATGCTCTTCTCCCCATTGATGTCTTGCTGACTGCGGTTTACGACGCCGATGAATCCAAGCTTCAAAGGGTAGACACGGCCCGTTAAGATGTCCAGCGCATTGGTCCCAGCATCCATCAAGTCCAGCTTCGTCAAAACGCCGATTGTCCTCCGGCCCTGAGGGTCGACTTGACGGGCGAGCTTGAGCGATTCCGAATTGGCTAAGTCAACATTGGCCGGTGATACAGAAAGGATAACACTGCAAAACGCGTGAGCGTTTCCCATGCCAGAGCGAGGTGTGGACACACACCTGTTGGGCTTGGAAATATAATCCAGCACTAGATTACGAATTTGCCGTTCAATGTCGCTCGGTTGATCTCCAACAGGGATCTTTAATATGCGGCTGTCAATACTCTTGAATAATAACAACAGCAAGAGACGCACTTTGGTCAATCCGGGTAAATCGACGAGCGTCAAGTCCAGCACGTCTGGACTGTAAATCCGAAGCGATATTGGCAACTTGCTAACACCCTTGTTCTGCCCTGCCACCCGGAAAGTCTCTTGCTCTATCTCCTTGCGAATCTCGTTGAAGTCCGTAAACTTCTTGTCGATGTGGAGAAATTGGGCCCATTCTCGAAAGGTGGGGCTACTGGGGGAGGAATCGGTGGATTCGGGAGTGTGTATCAGCTGGAGCACTAATGGCCGGCGCGTCACAATGCCTTGCCCACGGGGGAGAAAGTCCCGCCCGACGATGCTATATCACGAAAATACATGAGAGGGGGGATGGTTAAGATTATGGCCACTCACGTCTCGAGAACACTGGACTTTCCTGCTGATTGACTGCCCACCTGGTAGCAGGTCAGTGAGAGACCTTGAGACAGCAAAAGTCCTACTCACAACTACAAGTTGGGGCATGTCCAGCTCCCCCCCTATGGAAAAAAAGGTCGGATACTCTGCAGCGGCATAGGAAGCGAATGGGCGCACCCAGGTTATTGAAAGTATCCTGTAGCTTGTTCACGAGTTTTATGAGGTCGGTATCCATCGGAAGTAGGGTGTTGTGGTACAGAAGAAAGTTGCCGAGTAGAAAACGCGTAAAACAACCTGACTGCAACGCGTCGTCACAAGGAATTTGGCCTTGTTATTTCAACTCCGCACGGAGACAAAATATAGAATTGTAAAACACATTTATCAATTATCTACATAGAGTTCAGGAATTGAAGCAAATCCCGGCGGTTCGCCTCGCGCTCGTCGTCTCCCTTCTCCTTTTTGACCTTGAGCTTAATCTTTGCGAAAAGAGCCCGCATGAGATCGTGTGACACCTGCGAAGAAAAAGTACCTTTTTCCCGGTCAATACACTCCTCCGCTCCTCCTTATCCTTCGAGCGTTCTCGCTCCTTTCTCCGTCGTCGTCGCTCTCGGTCCTCTTCATCCTCATCATCGTCCTTATCCCTGCTCCGTCTCTTGCTGCTTTTCCGGTCGCGTGTCGAGGAGCCCTCGTAGTCCTTGTCCCGAGAATACTCGTCCCTGTCCTGTTAGTTGTTGAAGAATCATGACAGTGTCTTCCGAGGTCAAAACCCATTATGTTAGTGAGAGTCGGACATGGACGTACCGCTGATGAAGTAGCGTGGCGCTTGCCTCGACTGGGACCCGGACTAGCTGTTCGACTGCGTCGGCGCTGCGAGCACATGATATAGCACGAGTTTCCCAGAAATGAAAATTAGACTGACCGAATACTCAGACCCGTTTCTTCGCGGGCTGGCGCTCCTCTTCCGTTTCGTCTATCGCAATCGTGAGGAAGGAGCAACATGAAGGGAAAGTGGGGCTACCGAATGCTTTTCATCGTGTCGCGAGCGATGGTCCGAGTCCGCGCTTGGGTCTCTTCGGCCTCGTTTAACCTGTAGCGAAGGCTAAACCCAAATGCAACTGAATCGGCTATGAAACTGACGTCTAGCCGTTCCAACTCCCGGTCTACCTCGTCGGGGCCACCCGCGGTTGTATCAGCGTGACGGCGAGACGTATAGGAACGCGATGCAGAGTCAGAGTGCCTGGAAGAACGGCGGTAATAGGAATCGCCGTCGCGAGGGTATCTCTGGGAAGCTGGCGATGGAGACCGTTCTGAATAGTTTATGCCAAATTGGAGCCACGCAGACCGAGGTGGGCGAGAAATGAAGTGTCAGAACGAGTAGAAAGTTGAGTCTCATAGGCTTAGTACTCGTGGTCGAGGTATCTCACCATTGCGAGAGCTGGACTGTTTTTCTGGCGGGGGTTGGTCCCATCTGGATGAGTATCCCATTCTCGCGGCTTGTGGGGTTTGTTCAAGGAGTTGCCGCTGACTAAACTCTCGTATTTCATTTATTTTCTGAGGTATGGACCAAGAATCTGGCACTAGCAGAACGAGCAGTCATCATGTCTTCACTCGTATATCGGTTAGTATACCTGCTTGTCACGCAGGTGAGCTGGGTTCAACTCCCAGGTGGAGAGTTCTTTTTGCATTTTCCCTATTAATTTGTCCATTTTTGGATGTCGAATCAATATATTCACTCGAATTCCGGCTCTCGAAACAATTATTGATCGCCTGCTCGCGCCTGCGCAAGCAATGACTCTGCAAAGTCTTGGAAATCGCCCCTTCGACACGACCGACTGGGCTGTTCAGAATCAATCTTGTGGGCTCTATAATCCCTACGCAGAGAATGCTCACCTTGAAGGCATATATAACAGTCTGTGGTGCCGAGTCCGGCTTGTCCTCGAGTTCTTTCAGGGCCACACGGAGTATGTTTTCCTGCACATCAAAGGTGCATCGCACAGTAGGCTGCATCCGCACATTCATGGACACCTTCCAGAGTGGCTCGCGGCGGAATACTGCACTTGTTCGGTTAACTGAGCTCAGCGGTGTATATGGTACGCACGCAATCGTTTGGAGAGGTTCGTCCTGTGAGACAAGAGCTTGATGTGGCCCACCATCCCGCCCGAAAAATTGTCGTCTCCGCGCTTCACGAAGAGTTTGACGCCTTTGAGTTCCAAAGTGACGTCTTCCTCTTCCTCTCCGGTCAACTCTGCGGATGGTTAATTTCTTGACGTGTATTCATTGCATTGTACTGACGAGCTTGTATTACGAGGGACGAGGCCTTAGCTGCAACGAGTGCAGGCAGGGGGTCACTCTTCTCCTCAAGCTCGACGGTCGGCGTTGGTGACTCAACTGCGGGAACCGCCGTCCCTGGAGTGTTGGCCCAAATCGGTTTCCCGGCGATAGAGGCGCTGGCCGTTGAAGGACCAAAGGCGCGAAATGGTGAAGATGATCCAGCGAAATTCGCAAATCCGGGAGACGCTCTGCTCCGCTGAGAGAAAGGGACCGGTTAGGTTCACCCAATAGTTCAGTAGAACTGGTCTTACGGTGGAAGGAAACTGGGTAATGCGCGGAGGAGTTTGAGGAAACACGAATCGCGGTATTTCGGTGGGAACGGGCTCAGGTTTGGGTGTTTCTGGAATCAGGATCTCTTCGACGAGGTCAGGCTCTGGCGGTGCAGAAGAAACTGGGTCGGGTAGACTTGGGGCGGCGAGGATTTGTGGCTGCTCGTTGGTGGATGGGTCACAGTCCTCTGGGGTCATCTTCTCCTGCACAAACAATTGAAGTTGGATGATCCGGGACAAAATGGGTACGGACCGTGCTCTCGTTTGGATCTTGCTCCGAAATCGAACCACTACGACGTTTGTTTGGGTAGATCGACTTGAGATTCTAAACAACGGAAGCTCGATGAGCGTAAATATAGGTCCAAGGGGAACCAACGGACATGAGGATACCCTTCAACCATATCCTGAAGCGTACTGATTCAATTCCCACGTCCGTGTTTTATCTTTTCAAACGTACAGGGTCGCTTTCTTCCTGGTCGTGCGCACGTTTGCGCTTCAGCGAGCTGTTTCCAACGTCGGCGATGGGTTCTAGTTCCACGTCGGAGTGGGTGTCGATACTAGGATCCGGTTCTTGAACTGGTTCTTCAAAGATTCTCGAGATTTCCTTCGGCCTGGAATTGTCCTCCAGGTTGTCCAGATGCTGTAGTGCGCCGCGCCTGTGGATCGGAATCCTCAGGTGAGTGTCGGTTAGATGAGAAGATCCTCATAGTAAACATACGAAGGAAGCGGCCTGACTTTTCTAACGCAAGCGTAACCGACAGTGGCGGCGATCGTTGCGATTCCGCAAACGATAAAGTTGAAGTCTGCCATGAATCTGGAATTCCGATGGATGAGTGGCTATGCTTTCGAGTGCTGAAAGAATCGGCGAAGAGGTACTAGAGGGGACGGGTTGAAAGAACCGGTTATTTGAGGAAAGCGTTTTAAAGCAGGATAAGGATGCCGTGCGCACACCAGGTGCGTGATGGGCCAGCCTCGAGGACGAGGCACGCGGTATTCATGCTTGATTTGACGAGTTTGAAGAGACATGAGTGTGTGTCCATCATGGCACCGATACCGGGCGTTGGATTCAAGGTTGCGTTGGGAGTTTCACAGTAGCAGACTGGCAGTCAATCCGACGGATTCCAACCGGAGAGCTGGCGACTGAACCCGGAGTTCAAGTTCAGCGGCTGAGGTGACTTTTGGCTAGTAAATTTCGGTATTCCTTGAACTGGCGGTATCGTAGCAGCCTGAGGGCCTGATCATGAGGGCTCGGAGCTGCTCGGACTAATTAAACGGGAGACGTCACATCATGTGGTGTGACTTGATGACTTTGCTTTCCGTGTTCTCACAGTCTACAGAGCTTCAGAGCGCTGAGAGAATGTAGCCACCAGGCCTACGGTACCGGAGGAAAAATCCCACGCCCGCCACCCTCGGTCGTCGCGTATTCAAACGGTATTGGTCGCGTACACCGGCGCGCCTCAGAGACCTTCATAGCCGGGTCGCGTGACCTCACTGACGTGTCCTTTTCGGTCTCGGGTATAAATTAAGAGACTGTGTCTCAGATCTCAGCAACCACCACCAGCTATGCTATCCCACCTATTGCTATCGCTCGTGCTCGTCCCGGCGTTCGCGTCGGCTGCCGTCTTTCCCCCTGATTCACTGGTCAAGATGCTCGATGCGAAAACGTTCAAGAAAGCAATGAAAGCGAACGTCGGTGTGTCGGGCTCATAATCTAGGACATTTATTAAGCTCGCATTACAGCAAACTAGTATGGTTGCGTTCGTCGCTCCTTGGTGCGGAGTATGTCAGACCTATTCACTACCTAGTTCATACTCCTCACTGATCGTCCTCAGCATTGCCAAAAGATGGTGCCCGAATACAGCAAGGCTGCTCTGGGGATGCACCCTTTAATTCCCCTCTACGCTGTCGACTGTGACGATGAGAAGAACAAACGCCTATGCGGAGAACAGGGGGTCAAAGGGTTCCCCACCGTCAAGGTAGACATACCTGTTCGTTAGGCTCAACGTATACTGACCGGGATCCAGGTCTTCCCCCGCGGGAAAGAACAGTCTCCTATTCTTTACGAAGGCGAACGAAGTGCTAGCGCTTTCTACTATTTCGTGACACGTCGGGTACCCTCAGCACTCACCAAACTATACAAGGTTGAGGATATCATGCCGTGGGTGGAAAAGGTTGGGCCATATTTGACTGGGACGCAGGCGGCGTAATGACTTCGACCCTAGACCATTGACAAAAAGCGGACCCTGCTCTTGACAAAGGACAAGAAAGTACCGCTCCTATGGAAAGTGCTGGCAAACAAATACCAGGGCCAGCTGGAATTCGGAACCCATCGTGACCGCAAAGGAAAGTCCTCTGTGGCTCTCGGGTTCGAGGCTGGAGACCTGGTAAAGAAGGAGTCGAAGGTTCTTGTCTATTCGCCTGGATCGACCGCTGCGTTCCGTTACGAAGGTTCGTGTCTTGCGAGCTTTTCATTACCACCTCGCCAACATCATTTCAGGCATCAATAAGTTGGATTCCCTCAGCAAATTCTTCGACTCTGTTATCGACGGCACCGCGGACCTCTCAGTGATCAACGAGGAGGCCAAAGCCGAAGAATATGAACCGACGGAGGAGGAGCTATTGATCCAACAGAAACAGGAAGCCCAGCGGATAGCCCTTCTCCACGGCGGGTACTCAGAGCTCATCGACTTCGAGCAGGCTGTTATGAATGGAGACGCCGCAAGTTACCATGATACGCATGGGTTCGGTTCGCCCCCGCCTCTGAAGAAGAAAGAAAAGACAGCGGAGAGTGAAGAGGCCAAGGCACCCGAGGCGGCCGCTGAGGAGGCTACCGCGAAGGCGACACCGACGCCAGAAGCCCACATCGGAAAGAACGAAGCTGAGCTATAACCTCCTCGACTTTGTGTGTAATTTTGTAGATTATTTACTTCAATTCTTTTGTATCCCGGGACTTGCCATTGAACGAAATACGCCCGAACACCTGTTCGCTGCTACATAAACAACGGAATGAAAGGCGCAAAAGTGTGCAGAGCGCAGACTGCTTATACTAGAGAGTATAATGATGAATCAAATTGCTGCTGTGGGAAATAGTGGGGGAAAAGTAGCTGGACTCGCAATCTCGTTAGGATCCTGAGCTCCGCCTCTATGGGACGAAACGAAATTCCTGCTCGTACCTCTGTAATTCTGTAGATTAATTATTCGATTTCTTTCGACATTGCAAGACCTTGGTCAAACAAACAAGTGCAAATACCTGTTTGTTCCCCATTTACACGCCAATAAGAATTTCGTGCGCTCCTCCGGTTCCTTGAAACCGTGGACCCGTGCAGTATCCTGAGGGTTCCATGGCTCGCGGTGGCCAAACTTCCCCGGCTGCAACAGCCACAGCGTTGCCCAAAGTCTCTTTCCAGAAGATTGAGGACGATGTTTCCACCCAACCCAGCGGTGTTCATGACGGGCAAGCGCGTAGCTTTGGTTGTACGTCCTTTACTAGTCGCCCGCTTCCTCGCCTCACAAAACACGTAGATAACGACTTCTCGGAGTTCCACAGACCCGACCAATACATTCGCCACATCGGTGAGGTGCTAGCTCTCAGACTGCAGCTTGTGTATAGAACGCCATTTCAGAGCCACTGGAAATTGACCTCGAGCGGCAAGTCGAATATGACATGGACGAACAAGGTGTGTCATTCACGCGCTTGTTTTCGCGCTCTTTCACGTACTTGTAACCCCGGCAGATCAAGAATGGCTAGACGCGGTCAACACTGAGCGGAAGAAGGAGCAGTTGGACAAAATCTCCCATGAAGTCTTCGAGGTTGTCATGGATCGATTGGAGAAAGAGTGGTTTAACCTGGTGCGTTTACCCGGCGTCTTTCAGCATAATATTCTGAATGTCCATATCAAGACTAAACATATCCCCAAACCCGACTTGGCGCTCCCTTCCGAGGACTCCACCTGCGCTATTTGCGACGATTCCGAAGGCGAGAACAGCAACGCGATTGTATTCTGTGACGGCTGTAATCTCGCGGTTCATCAGGGTGAGCGCATCAGCCTCCGCCTCAGACCTACTAAATGACA